ATTAAGGAAGGGACACAGTCCTGTCTGATTAATTCCCACTGGCAGGAGGTTCTCAAGGTCTCAGGGTGAAGAAGGATCATTCCCATCTGTCTCACCTTTAAGGTGGCCATTTGTTCCATAGAGAACACCCCTCTAACTGAAAGGGGAAAGGGGTGTGTGTGTGTCTCTAAGTGACCTGTCAAAAGTTGACCGCTGGACAGCAGACCAAAGGGCAGAAAGTCATGCTAAGAGGAGATGGAAGAGTTGCTACAAGAATAAAACAAATATCTGGCCATCTTCACTGTCCTTTGTCCTCCACCTTGGCCACAGAGCATCCTCATTTTATACATTCAGGAAAAAGTTAACAGCATGGGCAGGGTTTCTGCATTCCAAGGTCCCAGTCCCATCCTCCATGAATCCTCAAGACCATTGATCACACAGTGCATCGAGGAAGCATTTTTCTTAATACTGTATGTTTACCCTGAAACACCAATCTGTAGTAGCAAAGAGACATAATCAATGTCAACAAAGGTCAATTCACTTTGACCAGCAGCTGTCTCTTGCCATAGGTGTAGGATAGGTGAAGAACAAATGGCTGGCCCGAATCCTGGAAAAATGAATGCCCTGTAAGAGAACCAGGAAGAAGATAATTGGTCTACACTGACAGGACAGCAATCTTTCAGAAGGAACAAGTATGCGAGGCCCCACCTTTCCCTGGATAGGGTGATTCCCACACTTCTGGCAGCAGAATGTGAATGGCATGAAATCAAGTGCTCACCCACCCATCACTGGTTCAGAGGGCTTTTTACAAGCTTTAGCTAGTGCAATAAGCTTAGCCACAGTCACCCATGCACCCCTGAAGCTGGATTACTGCAATGTATTTTGCAGAGGGCTGGGCTTGAAGCCAGTACAGAAAATAATGGCTAGGATGCTCACTCAAGTGGTCAACCGCAAGCAAGCAGACTCCATGGGTCACCCAAGCAGATGGCACTAGCTTCCAATATGCTACCAAACCAGATTTAGGGCTTTGTTCTTAAAACTCTGAACAACCTGGGACCAGTTTAGCTGAATGCCATCTTTCTTCCATATTGTTCTGTCCACCCACAGACATTAATGGATGAAACACTCTTAGAAGTGCCAGAGGTATCAACTGCCCACCTGGCAATCACAAAAGAGAGGGTGTTTGCAGTGATGGCATCTGTGCTTCCTAATAGTCTCCCTTGGGTGTAAGTCCAGTCCTGACAATCATTGCTCTGTCATTTGCTGAAAACCTATTGCCTTAAAAAGCATTTTCTGACCATTGCAAGATTGGATTTTGAATGCTTCAGATCTTCATCTAGCTTTATTGTTGCTGATTTTTGTATTCTTTTATTCTGCGCTGTGTTGGATTTATATCCCTTTTATTTCAGTACTGTAAATTCCACCAGTATGCATGAAGTGCCAGATCAAACCAGCAGAGGGAGCTTGACATCAGTTTATGTGGAATGGTTAAATCACTTTCCCAGTTGTATTTTTTACAAGCACCTCATCATTGTTGTTTTTAAGCAGAGTGTTTTTAAAAACCAGAAACAAAGAAACAAATAAATAAAACTACTTCGTAGCTGTGAAACAAATTAAAGTTGATATGGTTTTTGCTTTTTAATTAGTAGTTTTATGTTTTTATTTTTATGTGCTTTAATGTTGTGAGCCACCTAGTGTGTCCTTCACTAGGAGAAAGGTAGCCTACAAATCAGACAAACCGCTCCATACATCTACAAATCTGACTTAAGATAAGCATCTCAGGTGGCAGATAAGGAACAGATGGATCTTGTTGTACTCTGGCTCCCGCTTCAGCCGCTGAGGCGGTGCGCAAGGGCCAAAGCAGATAAGTGGGATCTGCCGGAAACTGAGCAGCCACTCTACTCCATTTCTCTACACAGTCTGATCCTATATATCAGGGGTGGGCAATTAATTTCTATAGGGGGGCCACATGAACAATCTGAACTGTGTTCGGGGGCCGAACCAACTTTACTTAAAAATAAAAGATAAGCAACTGATCAACTTGTAGACAAAAAGCTATAAATGGTTTTGATGTTCAACTTGTTCAGTGAGAGAAATCCAGTCTTTCTTGGGCTTGTAAGCCGCCCAGAGACCTCTGGGTAGAGTGGGCGGCATATAAATTAAATAAATAAATAATTAAATAAATAAGTGCTTGAACACTGGACTGGAGCGACAACCAGCGGGCCAGACAGGAGCAGCCCGCGGGCCGTATGTGGCCCTCGGGCTACACTTTGCCCAGGTCTGCTATACATGACCATGCAGTTCTCTTTTCTTTCTCACCTCAAAATAAAATAAAATAAAATAAATCACCCACACAACCCACCAGCATCCCATGTCTTCTGAATGTGCTCCCTCGAGACTGGGATACACTCTTCTCAGGATTTTGAAACCGTTTTTGAACCTCTGTCACAACACTTTCATCAGGCCTGTTGATGCCTCCTGTTTTGTGTATGAATGTAGATTTGACAACGTAAGGATAAGTAGCATCTCTATTGAGGGCCAGTGAGCCACTGTGGTGTAGTGGACAGAGTGACAGACTAGGACTCAGGAAACTCTGGGCTTAAATCCCCAATAAGCCAAATAAACTCTTAGAGGGGTGGCAATGATAATGCCACCCCTTACCTATCTCAAATGCCTTGAAAATCCCATTAAGGTTGCTGTAAGTCAGATGTGACTTGATGGCAGGTAACACAACCTGACAACATCTCTCTTAGATTATGTCCTGTTAGGGTTAAGATGGCAGTCTTGGCCTTACTGAAATGGAAATAATCCTGCTTTGCTTCACAGAATTGTAAGGATAAACCACAGCCCTGTCCTTTCTGCAGGGTCTTCGTTTGATGGGAACAAGCTAGGAACTTTATATTGAAAGCTACAATTCGCCATGCCTCCATACTTAGCCTTGAAACAATATGTAATGTCCACCACAAGCTTGTAATGTAAAATGTAGACTGAAGATGCCACTGGAGATTTTCATCCTTACACTGACTACCACAAAGGGGATGAGAGAAGGAAAGGTATAATATAGTTCCGAGAATTAATTTGACTAAAAATAAAAGATCTGGCCATTTATATTGGGTTGAACACTGAATGATTTGTGCTAGGCGACCAAAGTGTAGTTTTTATGCGAGGTAGTGAATAGACAAGGAGCTTTGTATTCGTCTCCTGAGGAGACGAATATGAAGCTCGCCACCACAGGTGGCCAGTCCAGTTGAACCCTCCCCCTCAAACCAGGCATCCGCCTATCTCTTACAGAAGGGCACAGGCAATCGCAGAAGTCGGGCTGGGGCTTACCTGCCTCCCTGTGCTGCTAACCAATCAGCAGCTAAGCAGGGAGGCTTGTCATCCCCTCAGCCGGGTTACTTCCGTGACTGGCATGGCATGAAGGACAACGGCCCCATGTGCCACAAGCAATAGGTGGATTCCCAGTTCAGGAGTGGGAGGGTCCAATCAGACTGCTCAGTTGAGCTGGCAAGTTTCATATCTGTCTTCCCCTGGAGACGAATACGAAGCTCCCATCTCTAGCAGTGAACATATATCTCGCTCTTATCAAGCTGCACTACAAGCAGAGAATCATACCATGTTCCATTATCATTGAATGTAGAAATGTAAACCCTGTCCAGGGACTACAGAACCTATTGCTATGATCATGCTTCCCCCTCTGTTGTTGCATTCTTCACAATGACAGACCTGGGTCTGAAGGAGGGAGGTTCCTGCTTCCAGGCAGGCTCTGTACAGAAGCAAAAAACCCTGGAAAACCTGGGTTTTGGCTTGCATGTATGTGACCAGGTCTGTCCTCTCAAGAACCAGTGCCGTAACTGTGAGGAACACAAATGAGAGGGGTGGGTTAGTTACTCACCTTCAAGAATGTCCCAGCATCAGGATGGATACCTGATGCATAGGACTTCACTTGCATACGTGAGCTAGCCCATTTTTTTTCACACTGAGAGAAGGGCAGGGCTAAGGAGTCACCTCTGAGCATGCTGTGTACTGCCTGAATAGGGCTCTGGGGAACCAAGAAAAAGAGTCTAGCCCAGCCCTGCCACTAATACATTGGCTGTATAAACAAGGAGTTCTATTTCTGTACAGTCCCAGAAACCTCCAGCTGACCAGAGACACAATCTTCACAGTCTGGGAACAATTGTCTTTGAGACAATAACCCCCTTTTCAAAGCTCAATGAGAATTAGGTTGGACTGGTGGTAACAAATATTAGGAGAGAAATATCATTTTGTCCTTCTTAAAGAAACACTTACCAGGATATTTTCAGCGGTTTTCTCTGTGTATGGTAGCAAAACAAGCCAGAAAGTAATTTTAAAAAACCCCAAAGTTCAAAGGAGCCTGCTGGAACAGGTAGATTCTATTTTAGGTGTTACATTCTACAGTGAAACTGTGGCCAGGCAGCCCTACTGACTAATGTGTACCTCAGTCAAAAGAACAAATGTATACCTAACCTCTCGCCTTGTGGAATAACAGGGCATGGGAGAGGTTAATTTTTTGGACTGCCACTTCCAAAATCCCTGAGCCAGCACGACAAGTAGTGAGTCTTCCAAAATCCATGTAAGAAAGGAGGCCACCTAGCTTTTAATGTTAAGAGATGGCTTCCAACTCTTCATCCCAAATGGGTCAAACCATGGGCATAGGTCAAGCTCGTTTATTCACAAGCACGGTTTGTGAAGAAAACCTCTACAGTGGACTTACAGACGGCTCGACTTACAGACTTTTCGAGTTACAGACTTCTCTGGCCGCAAAATTTAGGTTTGACTTGCAGCCAGAGAATCGACTTACAGACCAAGAAAAGAACAAAAGGGAACAAACGGCTGGTTACGGATTAATCGGTTTTCAATGCATTGTAGGTCAATGGTGCCTCAACCTACAGACTTTTCCACCTGCAGCCACCGTTCCAATATGGATTAATTCCATAAGTAGAGGGTCTACTATACTATGAAAGAACAAGGCAACCAAATGTAAAAAATAAAAACAGAAATAAAAAAAATCTTCAAATGTAGTTTATTGAGACATTCAGCTATGTCTGCCAGTCTACATCCAAACCCACTACCAAAAAAATAAAATAATGAATGTCCACAGGTCACATTTGGAACAACAACTCTTGAAGGGGGGAAAAACACTTTTGAGCACCAAGCCTAGTGTATAAATAAGTGACTGGTTCCTTTTTCATATCAAAATTCACATAAAAAAATTGCCAGCTTCCAATCCCACCCCCGCATCGCTAGCTCTACCTGAAAGCCATGATGAATGTAAAAATTTCAGTACACACACATTGTTGTCAAAGGAGAAAAAGGTGCAAATCCTATTAACAGCTTCAGGCGCGGCATTTGCGGCATTTGATCATACATTTAATGTACTCATTCCCAAAGGTGCAAATATTGCCAGGAGATTTAATACTGTGTTTGCTTTAATTCAGCTACCAATATACTACATGGAACTGAACAGCACCAAGGGGCTTCAATCAGTGACCTAAAACTCCTCCCACTTCTCCCCTGGACTCTTTCGCAGAGTAGAGAGAGAAAGTTCACTGGAGCTCTAGTTGATTTCACGCAGCCCATTCTGCCCAGAATGTTCAGTAACCAAAAGGAAGGAAAAAAAGAAAAAAGAAAAAAAGAGAGAGGGATCCTAAACATTAACGCATGGACGACTCCATCATAAAAAGTCAAGAATTGCTATAGATTACATGGATGCAAATGCCCAACCGAACATGCCCAAGCACCACATCCGACATACTGGAGTGCTGCCCTGTTCAAACACAATCCTTCTACTTGATTTGTATAACTTCCAGCTTCTTCTGGAGTTTTGCCAATATCCTTGACTGAGCTCCATTCATTGCCGAAAGACGAGGCCAAGGATACAAAAACAAACAAAACATATTTTTTGCCTCTTCTATCCTTCCGTTTTATTCCTCTTTCTAGTATCAGCCACACTGCCTTTTGTCTCACCTGACTCTTTCAATCCCACCTCCATCGATCCTTGTGTTTCTAGCCCTTCCTCCACCTATTTCCCTTCCAGAAATACTTAGTTTTTTGATTCCCAAACTCTGCCCTTCTACAACAGGGTGGCAGATTCTAAAGTCGTTTCCAGTGAAATCCACTGGCAGCCCTGTAAACCAAGCAGCTCACAGAAATCAGCATGGGATCTCATAAATACATTTTGGCCAGCATTCTGAGAGTTAAACCTGTTCATGACAGTAAAAAGGGTCGGATTCTGATAGCTAAGCCAGGAGGACCCGGAGTGCTTATTCATGTACCAGCCTCTCCTAATTCAGTTCTGGATGCAACCTCCTCCCGGGTCTTGCGTCACAGTCTCTGCCTCGTCTTCAGCCAGCCCTTTTGCAGCCACCTCTTGCTGGCTGGCCTCCCTGGCAGATGCATCGTCCAGACTGACAGAGCCATCCTTGGCATCGGCAGGGTCCTGCCGGGAACCTAGCCCTTTGACAGCTTGTTCACTGTCCTCAGCTTCACGGCCTGGCCTCTCCTGGCGCTCCACGCCATGGGGCTCGATGGCTTCTTGCTGGGCAGTATTTTGTGCTGCTTCGGGATTTGGTGGCGGCATGGGCTCCGATCCCAGTCCCAGAGTCTGAGTGGTATTTTTAAGTTGGCAGTGACACAGAGGGCAGGTTTCTTGCACATAGAGCCATTTCTTAAGGCAGCCCGCATGAAAGAAATGGCCACAAGGTGTGATGATTGCCGACTTCATGTCCTGAAAGGGAAAAGCACAAGAGACACATAAAGTCCAGTTGCAAATGACAACTCCTAATCCTCAACAAGGCCCAGGTAGACTAATCAAGGAAAGCCACGGTGACCCAGCTGGCCAAATCAACTGTTATTGTTTATTCACAAACAGAGTAGACTTGCTTAACACCCATCTATGTTAATAAAAGAGAACACAAGGACTGACATTTTGTTATAGGAAAAGGTTGTGAGGGTTAGACCAGGGTTACGAAACCTCTAACTCTCCCAATGTTTGGAGTCGCAATCCTTGACAACCAGCTGTATCATTTAGGATAGTGATTCCCAATCTTGGGTTCCCAGATGTTCCTGGACTCAAATTCTCAGAAGCCTTCACCACTAGCTGTGAAGGCCAGGACTTCTGGGAGTTGCAGTTCGATCAATCATACTTATGCTTAGCCATGGTTAGGAGAAGCAGTATACTGTACCATTTGTATTAGCTCACCACGGTAGTTATTAAGATACTTATACGCATAAGCCCTGACCTTGACTCACATAAGGAAAAGAATGTGTTGAATGTGTTGTTACAAGAATTAAGGAAAACAAGAATGGAGTGAGATGGCAATGGTTCCACATGAGACAGCAAGGAGAGAAGCCTAAGCATAAAACAGAGGGCAGAAGTCAGTTGTACCAGCCAGATGAGGAATGAAGATAAGGTCAACAATACATGATTAGTAAGATATATAAATGCTAAAACATCTGTAAACTCTGAGACCCACTTGTCAGGTATTAACCCATGTGTACTCCTTATTTTGCAGAATAAATAATTACATAATAATAAGTTATTTCATAGTGGGTGTTCTCTTTTTCTCCCACCTTGTAGGTAACTGGAAATGGCCTACCATGGTATTCAAACTGCTATTTTTTTCCTCAACTCCAAGGTTGGAAAACACTGATCTAGGGTTTCTGGGAGTGGAAGCCCAAACAATCAGAAGGTTCCCCGTTCTTGGTGAATTTTTGTGCATTGGGTTAGGAGCTACAAGGTACAGCAAAACTGTGCAGATCTGCACAGAAAAGTAAGAAAGTGCTCATCCAGTTTCTTACATTATCAATTTTCACTAAAAAATAATAATCCAGAAACTATTACAATTAAGGGATGGAAGAAGCTGCTTTACACCAAGTCATATCAATGGTCCATTCACCATAGGGGTAAGCAACTGGTGCTCTTTGGATATATTGAACTGTAACTCCCATAAGCCTAAATCAGCATGTGCAATGGTCAGGGACCATGGGGGCTGCAGACAAAACCCATGGGGGGGTGCCAGATTGACCATCCTGGATCTAGTCCATCCAGCTAGCCAGTTCTATATGATCTTATTCTGTTAACTTTAGTTACGTCCGACTCTTCGTGACCCCATGGACCAGAGCACCCCAGGCCCTCCTGTCTTTCACTGCCTCCTGGAGTTTGGTCAAATTCATGTTGGTCGCTTCGATGACACTGTCCAACCATCTCGTCCTCTGTCGTCCCCTTATCCTCTTGCCTTCGCACTTTCCCAACATCAGGGGCTTTTCCAGGAAGTCTTCTCTTCTCATGAAATGGCCTAAAGTATTGGAGCCTCAGCTTCAGAATCTGTCCTTCCAGTGATGCCCAGCAAAACAGTGTCTCCAAGTTCCAGGCAACCCAGTGGGAGGATACACTCAAAAACCCCTATGAGATCCAAATGAGGACACTTTCCCTGTCAGGTTCTTGGCATAAACTATCTAACGACATAACCAAAGCAGTTTCTGTCCCATAAAAAAGCTTGAACACAGATTCCAACTGATTTAGATAACGCACCATATCCTGATAATCTCATTTTGCTTGAGATGCCACCACATTATTTGCTTCATCACTTTGCCAAAAAAGGAATATTGATGATTGCCTTAAGATTATCTCAACACAGTGGATTTCAGAGAGATTTTTTTTAAAAAAGAGTTCTCACTCTGTCCAAGTTCATATTATTTTAGCAACAGCTGAAGCGTATAACCACTACCCTTACCTGTTCATCCAGTCCCCCTGGTCACTTTTACAAGCTAGGATGGCAAAGGGCAAGCGCCTGCACCTTTCAGCATTTATAGGCAGTACATATTGAAAAGAACCAGTATAGCTAAATGCAGCAGCAACGAAGGCTACAGTCACTGGACCTGGACCTGTATTGATTGTGGCATCCAAATTAAAATGGATCCAAATGATTTTATCTGCAAAGCATTGTGCAGATTGGTCATAATGAGCTGTCAAGTGATCCTTACTCTCTTCTCTTGGGACAGAACATAATATGCCCCTGATCACCAGGAAGTGCTCTGTGGGGTGACTCTGTGCAAATCCATTACAGAAGCAGTGGCAAGAAATTAAAAGGCTGTTCCTTTAAATTAATTCTAGCCATTTAGGCCAGCCTATGTAATGAAGTGAAAATTAGTCAGGAAGTGACTTTTTCGTATTATGCTTTAAACACCTTCTGAGAGGGTAACTGGTTGTGTATACCAGTGTTCTTATATGAATAATACATTAAAGGCTATTTGAATCAAGCCTTCCATGTGTGTTTTAATTTCAGTCTAGGGATTGTGAATCCTTAGCCTTACAGGTTTCTAACAGCAATATGCTCTGCTTATATATAAGGATCCAGATTTGATGGTAACGCCTCTTGAAATAAATTTAAACAGGAATCTATGGGTGTCAGGTAGTCTTGCTGGCTAATCAACAATTTATTGTTTCCAGACCGTAGCCCTCCCTAAATGGTGGGGTCTGATCCCTAATCTCATGCAATACTTTCTGAACTCGCGCTGAGGGCTGCACCCTTCCAAACATCATGGTTAGAGTGTCAATTGTGGGATTGTGTGGTTTTCCTGCATCTGGGATCATGCGGTGACACCAAAGCAGCAGGCCTTAGCCTCCCTTGGAACTGGAAAAGGACCTGGGGATTATCTCAACATTGCACTTTGTGGCAATTTCCTCTGAAGCCCCTAACCTCCCCCCCCCCAACCTTCACGAGGTTCTCGCTCTTCTTCTTTCTTCAGGTATTACTGCTTTAATACCATTTAATCATGGAGACATGTGTATTTTTAAAACTTAAGTCATTTATTAGATCAGGGAAGTTAATACATGATTAATATTCAATAGATAAATCGCAGGCTGCTAATCACTTATATTTGAATCAAATTAGTCACAACTTCTAAACTCTTTTAACTCTCTGTTCTATTCATCGTTCTTACAGATCTCTAACTCACTCTTAGTTCACTTCTAAGTTTCACACAGTCTCTCTCTACCAGAATCTCCTACATACTCCATACACTGGTTTATATATCCAGCCCCCAATCCCCTTGGCTCCGTCCACTCATTGGCTCCTTCTTCACTGTTCTACCGTGACAGACAGGTGAGGGCAGGGCTGTTCGCTACACACGTGTTGGGAAAGTGTGAGGGCAAGAGGAGAAGGGGACGACAGAGGACGAGATGGTTGGACAGTGCCATCGAAGCAACCAACATGAATTTGACCCAAGTCTGGGAGGCAGTGGAAGACAGGAGGGCCTGGCGTGCTCTGGTCCAGGGGGTCACGAAGAATCGGACACGACTTAACGACTAAACAACAATGAGAATGGTTCAGTCTTCTTTCTCACAGATTTAACAGCTGGGAGGAGGAGTTTGGAATTTGCACTCATCAGGTGGCGGCAGCAGCGGCTGCTGCAGGAAGTGGGCACATACCACACCCTGGCAATTATTCTTCTACATCATGTAACATGCAATGTGAGTATATACCTGGAGCTTGGTTCATTTGATTTTTCACTCCTTCGCACGAAGGAGCCAGGCCATCATGCCATTTGCAGTGCTAACCTTGTAAAGGTCTCAACTAAGCAATTTCCCAGTGCAGTACATTGATGGCCCAGTTCAACACACCATCTTAGCCCTTCATACAAAATATTACAAGGGGGAGACCGAGTTCTTCTCCATACCTGGTAGCAGATGGCACAGATATCATTGTGTTGTTCCAGCTGGTCTTTGGTAGCTGTGGGCAGGGACTTGATCTTATTCACAGCATCCCTGCGGAGAAGAAAGCTTTTCCATCCCAACTGAGCACGAAGCCACACATTGTAATAGGAATGAATGAAGATGATCATGGAGCCCATCACAGTCCATTCTCCAAAGATGGTTTCTGATACGCCATAGGCCACAACGCAGAGTGCCACCAGGAATTCTAACAAGCGATAGGTGCCATTCACATAGTAAATGACATCGTCCATGTTTTCCACAGGCTCTTTCCTGAACTCCTCCACCATAAACAAGACGTAAATGAAAAGTGTTCCAAGTACCTGGGAAGAATCACATCACCTAATTAACGGGCAAGCTACAAGACTAGAACTTTTCAATATTTAGTTTGCCTGAGTTTTAGGAGATCCCCAATTTGTAAATAAGTACTGTAATGTGAGGCACATACTACAACACTCCCAGAAATTACTCCCTTCATTCAAACTGAATACCTCCAAAGAGCTGGATACGACATTGACAGCTGTCGCTGTTTGTGGTCCTTAAACTGGCGAAACACCTACGTAACTCATAACAATAAACCAAATGCTTGTATACATTTTTATTTAACAAGACAGAAGTGCGACATTTTGTTTGAACACTTCCATGTATTTGGGATGGAAGACTGTATCTCAACACCCAGAGTTTCAACACTCACATTACAACATGTTTAGGATTAATCCATAGGCTAAAACCAGCTGCCAGTCCCAACCAGAGGGGACCAACTGAATAGCATTTAAAATAAATGTTGACCTACCACTCAGAAATTGATTTCATGTATCTACTTGAGTTGGAACTAGCAACTGGATTTAATCCCATATATCTAATATTACTGCCTGCAGAAAAAACTATTTTAATGCACTGATGCTGTACTTTTTTAAAAGTGTGTTCTTAAATTGGTTACTAACTCTATAGTGTTCTAATACTATAATTAATATAACAGCATTTTAACATCATAACGTCTTGCCTGACTTTTAAAAATCTACTTGCTTTTTTTACTTGTATCTGTTTTAAACGAGTTCTTAGCTACCTTGAGTCCCTAGGAGAAAAATGTGCTAGTAAGTCAAATAAGTTAGAATTTCAGAATTGTTGCATGCACTGTGGCAGCCACTGATCCCTTGTAATCTATGCTGTATGATCAAATATGCTTCAACAGGAACACAAATTGTCTTATTTCATAAAACAAAGATGACAAAGATTGGAAATTCTTCTCTGATACTTTTATTCTGAGAGATAAATCATCAAGAAGCTATTATGCACGAAAGTAGCTATTGTGCCTTACCTGGAGAGAGGTGAGAATGCTGCTAGAAATAATGATTAACAACCAGAAATCCATGTGGAAAAACTGACAGATCATGTAGGCCATGTATGCTGGGAAGACCAGTAAGAACAAGCACAGACTCACTGCACGGAAATGCTTCCAGAGGCTCCTGTAAAAACAAGGCCATTTAAACAGTTGGGTTTTTTTAAGTGGGCTTTAAACCACACACACACACACACACACACACACACACACACACACACACACACACACACACACACACACACACACACACACACAGGTCAGATGTAACACATTAGGCATTCTTTAAAGTGGGCTATCACAATCCCTACAGAACATTTTGACTGGAGCAAGAACATTGTAACCTTTTTTCCTGAAGATACAGAACCGTCAAGAACAAAAAGACACCATCTTTTTGAGAAACATTTGTGAACTTCAGGGGCAATCCCACAGTGGCACCAGTTAATGCAATAGTGCTAGGTCCAGAATAAGTTCATCAATGAATATTGTTCATATGAGTTGCTTGAGAATTCACACAGATATCATCTCAATTTCAGAATAACAGCTTACATTCAGCACATGTACAGTTCTGTGTATATGACCTGACTCATGATTTACATGTTTGAACATATGAGGAAGGAAAGTACTGTATGTTGCCAGTGTCCCACTCTGTTCCTCTTTTCATATTAATGTAAGAGTCTTAAAGGCAGAGTGCTCACTAACCATGGAGTCTGTCTCTATAGGGGTCTCTGGGTTACACCCAGTATTTGCTTATTCATATGGAAGGCCATTTCTTCACCTAGACAGTGAAGTGACAGAATGCTATATTCCTTGCATTGGTAATGCAGTATTCAGATTTTTTTTTTATTAACCAACATTAGAAATGAATTTTAGGGCCCTGTATAAAATAAGTTCTTTTTCTCAAATTAAAGGAAATCCTCATATTAATGCTATAGCATCTTCTGGCAAGAACCCACCCAAGGAAACTATAGACAGTATATGTCAGTAAAATAGAGTTCTTACTGCTTTTCACAGTCAGCCTTCCATTTCAGCCGGGGAGAGAGTGTGCCTATAGCTTTCAGAGCATGATTATTAACTTAGTAACAGTGTCGCGTTGCTTCTTACTCGTGATCTCGTTCAGCTGAAGACAACTAATTTAATTTACATCCTCCTGAAAGAGTTATTACTCCTCAGGAGTAATGTATGCATGAAATGCAGAAACCCAGATACATCTACCAGGAAAAAAAAAATCCAGCACTGACTTAAAACATATCTTGCAGGAGGACTGACATATCTTTTTATCAATCATTCATGCGAATATCAGGGTAAGATATAAGGATCTTTACATTTATAAAGCCTACACTGAAGCACCATCTACAGTCTTGCCCAGATTTTCTTTTCACAGTCTGGTTTGAACAGTGCAGAGCGGATTGGCACTGTTCAAATCAGTCTGCTGCCACTGGGTCCAATTTAGAGAAGCCAGCTAGCCACCGTCCAGCAGCTCTTCCCGCCCCCCTCTGCTGATAAATTTAGCATTAACTTGGTGCAGACACCTGCGCGGGTCACAAGTAATCTCTAAGTGAAACAGACAGGGGATATAAATAAACTTTCTCTTACTGAACAGGTCTCTTTGGCCACAGAGAAAAAAGTGGAAGGCAACCTGCTCAGAAGACTGGCAAGGTACAAGAATTGTTACCACTTAGCACGGCATTTAACCCCCCCCCCACCTCCAACTAATGAATTGGGTCATAAAGAAACACCAAACTAATTTTGGACTCTAAACAATTTCAAGTTTCAGCCTTTCTTTTTAAGTTTCTTTTCTCTCTCTCTCCTTCTTTCTAATTTATTGCATTCTGCTGCTATCCCACATTCTGATGCGTAACCATGCACATCCAAATTACCTATTCTGTTACATCTTCTTATTCCTCTCTGTGGGTGATTTCATCCACACTGTACCATGATAAATGAACTCAATGGATTGTTTCACAAAGGTGTACAACAAATACACAGGCATCCGTGTGCTACAAATACATTTTGGTAGGTGTTTAGAAGAAGTGATGAGTCAACTCTCATGACATTATGGTAACAGCATATACAAATTTCCTTAAAAACTCAGTAACTGCTAAGCCTGAGAAACTATTCCTTTGTATCAGAAATAGTGCCAGGCAGAGCAGACTAAACCTCACTGAGTAGGCTGCATATTTTACATGTAAGGTTATCTCCTGTTGCAAAGATTTTAAGCCTCCCAGACAGGGACAATTATTTCAGGTGTAGACAGGATTGTGTTTTGGGTTCCGGTGGTTTCTCCTCTACTCACAGACAGCAGTTTCTTGTCCCTTTTCTTGGTTTAAGACAAACCACGGTATGCTATTCCATTTCCCAAACTGATAGAACTATAGCCTGCGCTTGCTCTGCAAATCCCATAGTTTGTCCTAAAGAGGCACTAAACAGTGGCTTGTCTCAAACCAGCAAAGAAACTGTCTTGTGCAAGAGAAGGAAAGGGGCACATGACTTTGAAGCTCATGAAAAGTTTGTTCTTGCAGCACAAGCACAACACGAGATGCCAAAATGAGCTCACAATTTGCTGCTTCTGTTTCGCTTAAATGGCCCACAATTTAATGGACTTACTTCCAATACCACAAAAAGTGAAAGACAGACGCCAGCATTAGGGAATACACGTCTTACTTGTCTCTTGAAGCTCCCAGAGCGAGGACAATGGGATCGGCAATCTCCAGCATGGACTGCAGGATGGATGCCACCACAATGAAGAGGATAATACTGAGCAGGAAGGCGCGGTGAACAACTTGCAGCTCAATCAACCCAGTTTGCACAGCCAGGATCAGCAGTGTAACTCCTTCTGTCATCCCTCTTTGCAGTTAAAAATTAAAAAAAAGGATAAGCATCAAGAGTCAACCCTTGAGAGCTTGACTTGACTCAATTCTAGTACCACACTACTAACATGAAGCTGTCTTCTTACACTGTTCAGTGTTTCTGTCTTTTGTACACACTCTCAGTTGATGGCTTTCCTATAACCAGGCTGTGCATATCAGCTGTCACCTTCAACTCCCTAACAGAGGGCTGGTTTCTTGATTTCAAGTCTCTTTTCATAAGCTCCCTGCATAGCTCTGGGCAAGTCATTATATTTCAGTGTCAGATATTCCCCCTACAAGCCTTGTAGTAGGGTAGTTAAACTGCAATACTGCAGTGAAGGCTCTGCTCATGACCTGAGTTTGATCCCAATGGGCTCAGGGTAAATCCCAGAGTAACTGGCAGCCTTTTGGTATCAAGGTTGGGGTGTAAAAATTCCAACCAAGCTCCCAGCATCCTTGAGATTGCAGCCTCAAGAGGACTGAAATTACCTCTCACAGATATGGGCCATCAATTTTGGGCCTCTTGTCTACAATTTTTTGCAGTATCCATGAAAGGGTTGTGCTCAGCTTGAAGAAGTGGAGTTCCCCCACAAAAGCTTGCAATTTGTATGACTGCGTAGTGCTCCAATAAAAGGTATCAGCCACTCAAATGTCTGATTATTAAAATATCTCATTCTAGTGTGTGAGGTACATGCCTTAAAAACTATGCCGTACACCAGCAAAGCTTAATATATGAAAAATATCGTATGTCCTTGCCATGCAGTTTACCTATTCATAGCCGGGTCATTCATGAATGCTCGGTAGCCTTGCAAATAAAACTTGCAGAGGGTGAGGACGCCAAGTGCCACGAAGGAGACGGTAAACACCAATCCCAAAAGAGAATAGGGAGTGCTGCAGCATTCTGCAATACTGCGAGGGCAAACATCCAGAGAAATAGAGAAAATAAATGAATTAAAAATGTTGAACTGTTACGGTACATTCAAAGACTTACGGCATAGATGTGAGAGGTCCGTGCCTCCATGGGACTTACAGTCTGTAGATCTAGTAGAGTAAAATGAGTCTAAAATGTGCTGACTGAGAACAAACCACACATACAACATGTAGCAATGCTTATCACAAGGTGATTAACGTTGGGCTCTGTCACTATCTAGTAAAATTAGCACCCTCTTGGGCTGCTTCTCTACTGGCATTTCATGATAAATTATTATTTAAGAATCCAAAAGAAAAATGAAGTCTTCTTGTTCACTCACTGACATTTCAATTTTTCGTTAAAAAAAGTCAATAAAAAAAGCAAAGCTAAACACAGGCATTATCTGCATCACTTCCCATTTGGCCAAACATTAGAAACAGGTTGCTATTTGGTAGTTGGGAATCCATGATTTTGTAAGCCGCCCCGAGTAGACGTTGTCTAGAGGGGCGGGGTAAAAATTGAATAAAATAAATAAATGATTACTTGCATTATTGTGTAAGTTTCTACATCTGTTCTTTCTCTATTGAGTCACGGGCTGTACATGACTCTAAAGACGGGATGGACTGGATGCGCACATGTGGTTTTTTTTTCATGCTGTTATTTTATTTGTAGTGTTAAGATATTTCTCTGCCGCCCACTTTTGGTACCTCTGGCTCGTCTGTCTGACAACAAGCCTTCTCCAAGATCTCCCCATAGTGCAACCTCTAAATCATTTCACTGCTGAGGAAAAATAAACTAAAACAAGAACTCCCAACACCCCCACTTTTTCTAGGTCTAAAAATGAGTCCTGTAGTTAGGCATGCATATGCCCTGTGGCGCATGATTCATCCCAAGTCTAGCATTTTGATGGTGGTGGCATGCACGATCCTACCTACAGCTGCCTTCTCTTCTCATTTATAGCAGTTTTTCTGACAGCAACAAATGGAAGATTTTAGGAAATCTTTACCTGGTTAGGAAAAGAAATAGGAGCCTCTCCCGTGAGGCAGGTTGATCCCGGGTGCTGAAGTAAGAGTAGATCTGAAGCGCAAACAGTACAAGCCAGAAGACCATGAAAAGAACGGGCACCACCAGCTGGTTCCACAGAGACATTCCGAGGGCAAGGAGGCCGTACACTTCAACCACCTGGACAAATGGAAAGAAGGGAAGGTTGGGTTTATTTATTTGCTTTCTCCTCTCCTCTAAAACCCTCAGCTACAAAGGAAACATTCGGCGTATTCTTCACTCGGAGTGCAAGTGGTGGTGGAAGAGTTTATAATGCTTCAGAATCGGAAAAACAAATCAGCAGACACCAACTCTTTGTTGCTACGGTCTTCCTGACAAAGTGCTTTTAAAAGAGCAGGCACGGTACATCAGAGCCACCACCTCCTCTTTTGTTTTTGTTCTTTTGCTGATTAATCAACATTGTAATGCTAATTATCAAGCTGCATACATGGCAGTCTTTTGGGATAGTTGTGGTATTCACAGCACACTTTTGTGACTTGATACTTTATTGACCCTCGCCCCCGCCCCACTAAATAATAATAACAGGTGACTCTCATGCTCAGTGCAGTTTCCACTGATACGGAAATTTCGTATACCTTTGAACTCTGTAGTTCTCTCCAAGCAACAACAGTACCAAGGAAGTGTGGAAATAAACTAAAGGAAAATAAAAGCAAGTTGTTTTTTTTCTTGGATGTGTAACAATCTATGGGGGTTCAACTCAATGGTCTCCAACTCAATTATTCTGTGATTCTATGCTTGGCTTTATGAGAGTTTTTGAATAGAAACATGATTTGAGATGCTACACAAAATATCCAGGAGAAACTCAGGGGAAAAGGGGGTGAGGCTGTTTTCTTTGGGATCCACTAGATTTTGAAAAAAAATATGTTCAGAACTGCTTGTTTACATGTTTGTCTGAACACACATGAAGACCTTTCCAGCTTCTTCAGAAATGCTTCCTTGACTGAGGGACAAAGATGCACACAAGTCATCAGAGAGAACTCAGAACCAAAGTAACTAAGGTAAGTGTTGACTCACCAAAGTCCCACTGAGTCAAAGAGTGTATTCCACTCAACTAGATAGATACAGTGGTGGTCTGTGGAACCAATGTTATCACTCCAAAGAACTGCAGTGCACTAGAAAAGACAGCTGCAAGCAATGCACAATATGTAGATTCAAAATTCTACTTTGGTGCATTTTTTATTCATCTGGCATTCGAAGAACTCTATTGACAGCAATGTCACCTCCAAATTTCAGAAGGAAGCCTACGAGCCACATATTGATTTACGCTGAATTAATTCAAGCTGAGCAAAGGCAACTGACCCTGCAAGCGAGAGCAACTGGAATACAAAGTCAGAAAATCATTTGTTCAGCCAAGCTTGGACAAGATGGGACAAGACAAGTGCTGAAGGTAGCCTACACATTTGCCTTAGCTTATGAATGCACACACCTCATTTGGAGTTTTTAGTTTTCTTATAAAGACCCCTATTTCATTGTCACCTTTATAAGCTTTCTTATTTCAGAGGAAGATTCTGATTATAACATGTTATCAGAAAAGTTGTTGTTCCCTCAACCTACATTACATTAGATTAGAACCTTAATACAAAACCAGTGCAGAACTACAATTATGTTCTGAGTGTAAGAAAATTGTCTGAGACATAATTGAGAGCCAAAATTCAACTTAGTGGCAATCACCTTCTTTTATAACACTATTTTGTTATCTGAAGAATATATTACACACTGCTATTCTTAATCACAGCTCACTTTTTAATCAGATTCTCCATTATACAAACAGTAGGTTGCAAATACCTTCCAGATTGTTCACACATCGTGAATATGTTAATGCCACTATCTGTACAGAGAACTGAAGCAATGAGTACTGCTTCTCAAGGCCCGTTCTTCAAATGCTCAGGGAATTTAGGATTTCATGACGGGGCTTCGGATTTCACACACAGATAGTGTTAGAAAGACAGGTTATATTTACTGCCTTTAAATTAATCAGAACAGAGGTACTCTAAATCATTTACAACATATTGGCCATAATGAGACTTTCTGGAAAGGCCTTGCGGTGTGATTCATTTACTTCTAGAGGCATGTTGGAACGTGGCTGCCTGTAGAGGGGCCCTCTCAGTAATTACACAGCGTCTCTAATTTCTTCCCCAAAGAATCGTGTCTATGTCCATCTTTCCTCAGGTTTCTGAGGAAAGGTATGTTGTTTTTGTTTCATCAGGCAGATGGAATACTATAAAAGGAATAAATGTCAGGTTGCATAGCGTCTTGCTGCCGTTACTGTAAAACACCTACACACACAAATAAAATGTAATAAATGCACAATAAAATGAACTCCCCAAGTGCAATGACTGTTTTGAAACTAGCCAATAGGACTGCATCAACGCTGCTCTTCAAATACAAGGGCAGGACACAACAAATAAAATGAAACTGTGAAGAAAGGAAGGAGAGTAGGAAAGTCTGCCAGTCTCTCTGATCCAATGTAAGATGTCTTTGTGGTATTTTTCATCCCTTGAGACGCAACTGTCACTCCTGAGGTAACGGGGGGGGGAGGGGGGAGAGGACATTATTTCTTCCTTCATCCTGCCAGAAGGCTTATCAGTCCAGTTTGGTAGCTTCTTTGATAAGGGCCCTGCAATTCCCTGGGAGGGTCTGGTTGATATATATGATTTAGCATTTATATTGCAGGCTGTGTGTTTCCAGTCTCCAGAGAATTTTACATCCCTTACCTTTGCATCCTGCTAAGAGGTTGCCTAGACCAAGGGACAGGCCACGGAAGTCTGCCTCTGCTGGAGCTCACTCCTTTTGTCAGATTCAGCAGTGGCCCCCATCTCCTGCAGCCGACCTACCAGTGCCATTCAAAAACCTGCTCCAGAAAGTTGAAAACCAACAGCAGATGGAGAAAGTCCCCAGGCTGCCGGAACAGGGCACTGAAGTATGTCATTGAATCTTGGCCAGTGTTGTGTTCAGAACCCAGAGACGGTCTGAAGCAAGAGAGCCATATCTAAGGTCCAGCTAATGAATCTGTGGCTATGGGTAAGATTAGGAACAGGGCCCTTCCATCTCCCAGCCCACACTTGTTGAGGGAATAAAGGAAACTAGCAGAATCACAGAATTGTAGAAAAGAATCAACGGTCTACTACCCTACCAAAGCAAGAAATCCCACAGCTAAAGCCTCCCTGACATGTGGGTGTCTACCTTTTGAGGAAGTCTGTCCCACAGAAAAAGTATGAACACGTGTCATCTAGATGCTATCTTAGAGCTCTCCTTCACACAGCCTGCCCACAATTCAAGCAATAGTAGATGTGGGGCCTTTGTGGATGAGATCATAAGAGTGTAAGCCACCCTAGAATGCAGCCCACATCACGACAACAAATGTAAGACTATTAAGATCCAATATTAAGTAATCCCATTAACACATTATCTAGTGATGACAGTCCCTATACTTAATGTTTAATTAGCATATTAATTTCCCTTTAGATATTGGGAATATAGTTCATTCTTTGAACTAAGAACGGAAAGAGCTTTGCCTTCTTATGCCCATTTTTGCACACTCGCATATAAAGAAAGACTTGTTACCAGAAACAGAACAACTTGTTAACAAGTTGATGGTTATTTATGTGTCTTCAATGCTATAGCTGCATTCGAAAATAACTTGATTTAATTATTAGCTGTTTCAGTGTTTCGTTAACTTCACAATTTCGTAGATACATAGTATTTGGGGGGGGCAAGGATTCACCACATACATACGGAGGGAGGAGAGAAGGGGCAATGCTTAGGAACAGTTATCAGGCTTCAGATCCAGCACAGTGGAATTTGTGTTGAAATGTGACATTGTGTTTAGTGAATATTTCACAAAGGGAAAAAAACAGTTTAGGTGATGAAGATAATAGGAGCACTGAGACTGCTACTAGTTTGTTGCATCAGGCAAAACTGAAATATACTGTATAGTATGTAACTGCAGTACACTTTGCAATAATCAAATTAGCAGTCTTAGGTCAAGCTAATACTTAGATTCATCACTCACAAAACCAGAAAAAAATGCAGAACATTTCACATCAATTCCAACACACTTGTGTGAGCAATTAATTTCAAGTCACCAAGACCTGAGTAATTTTTACACACTCTAGCCATAGATGCAACTGCTGAAGAACTAAAAAGAACTAATGAAAGCGTTCCCTGGAAATGTCCACTAAATCATAACATATGCACAAGATCCTCTACCACCACAAGACATACCATGAGCTTCTTCTATTTAGACAAACTGGGAAAGTCTAGACAACCCACCATATTGCATATTGGTACTACCACTGTTGGTGTATCTGGATACAGACGTTGTTCTCAAACCATAAATCTCAAAAAGCCCTGGCTATGTAAGAAATAGCTGCCAACTTCTCAAGGAAATAATAGTCCATCTACAGCTTTTCCGATGACACCATCGTAGTCATGATGGATGTACAAGCACTTCACAGATATTTCTCACAAAGAGATATCTACAAACCATCTACCCCAACAACAACAACAACAATAACAAACGACAACAACAACAAAACACTGACCATGCCACCAAGCCATTTTACAAGCACACATAGCTATTTTATATGCACACATGATATCTTTGGAAATGACATGTGTCTCCAGATCAGCTATGGGCCCATGGCTGGCTGCACAGTATGCAAACATATTCATTGCTGATCTGGAACAATGCTTCCTCAATTCCTGTATCTAGAAAACTCTCCTCTGAGATTCATAGATGACATCTTCACCATCTGGACTTACAGCATGGAATGCTGAAGAAATTGCACAAAGACTTCATAACTTTGAGCCTTCCATCAGTTCAAGCCTGGACCAGTCCACACAAGTATACTTTTAAGATACCACGGTGCAACTGCATAAGGGATCTACCAACACTATTGTTACACTGGAAATTCACCAACAATTACATACATACATGTTTTCAGCTTCCACCTAGAATGTGCCGCCAAGTCAATTCTTACAGCCAAGCTCTCTAATATAATTGGATTTACTCAGAACCACAAGGTTCAAATACATGGAGTTAAAAGAGGCAATCCTGAAACTGCAAACCCCACTCAACATTGTGAAAAAGCAAGCTGACAGGTCCAGGCTGGTGCCTAAGAACAAACTGTTCCAAGACAGACCCAAGAGAAAGAATGTAGAAAAAAAGGAATCACCAAGGAGAACAACAAGAACTGACTAGATAAACAAGTTGCAGTGCATCTCTAATTGCCCCAACAGAGATCAAGGCTTCTTAGAGCACTACATATATTAGTAACTCAGCTTTCTATAATATTGTATAGGTATAAAACAGTTGTCTCCCTTAACAAACTCTGGTCCCTGTGAAAGAAAAGTCTATTGATGTTTCTGTGATAGTCAGGTCTATCATGTTGGCTAGGACATGCTAACTGAAGAGGTTAATAGTTGGATAGTCCCTTTCCCTATGTTAATAAGCCATTGCCACTTTCTTTATTGCTTGTATTATCTCACATGGTCATAGGGATATGTTTAGGTATAGAGGACATGGTATTGCACTCATATCCAAGGAAGTGTATTCTAATCATCATCATCATCACCATCATATTAGAATTGCAGAACTGGAAGGGGTCATAAGGATCATTGACTATAGCCTCTGTCAAGGGGACACAGTGGGGAATCAAACTCCCAACTATCCAAAAACACACACCTCACAATGAAATAAAATTGTTAGTCTTTAATCTGGTGTAATATTTTGCCTTTTCCCCTCTTTTTCTCTTTCCTAGACAGACAAACATGGCTAATTCTTTGGATGTTTAATTATTATTAGTTATTAATTTATTTAAAATATTTATACTCTGCCTTTCTTCTCAAGAGCACCCAAGGTGACTTAAAATATTAAAATAGACAAAAAAACTAAAATAAAATCTTACAATATTAAAAGAATGAGAAGATATCAAATTAAAAACTAGAGTTTAAAATTAGTTGCCAGCCATTCTAGAAAGGCATTGTTTTTTTAAAAAAAACCCTCTTAGTGTAAGAGAAAACAAACGATATTTCAATACATTTTACATATTAGGTTGTATTCTGCATGATGATGAATTTTTAAAAAATAGTTCAGATGGTATTTGTAGTACTTCCAAATGCAGTTTTTAATTGAGCCTGTCTGTCTGCAGCACGGAAGGTTGCAGAAAGCAGCAGAAAGGAAATGGCAGGTGTTCTCAAAGGAAATTGTTTAAAGTCATAGGAAGTCGCTAAAGAAGAATCAAAGGCTTCCTTCTAAGGCAACCTATTTTAACCTATTTCTTCTTTGAAACCATATAAATAGGGGTGGGGACTGTGGGGAAAATTCTCCTTTTGCATAGAGATTAAATGCTTCACACAAATGTCCTGCATGAGATCTCTTTCAACCAATCTCCTTCAAGTGCAAATTGCCTTTTCGTTTAACTAATTTCCCTTGCAACAGCCAGTCACAAAGCCTGCCTGGAGAGGAAGGTCTCCACCTACTTATGTAAGGACAACAAAGACGGGGCCAGCCTGGCCTCCTGTGAGGGGGGGGGTCTCAGAGTTTGGGAGCAGCAACAGAGAAGGCAGTTCTCACCAAATGCACTTGTGAGGGTGGCAGGACTGAGAGAAAGGCCTCTCTGGTTATTTTTTTTAATACATAAAGATTCCTTAAGGGACATGTGTAACCCAGATCATTTTCTGTGCTGGCTGATTTAAAGGCTCAAAATCTCTCTTCAGAGGGTGCAGAAATCAGTAATCTGCAAAGTAATTCCCATACTCCAAAGTACCTTTTCAGGCTTTTCCCATAGATCTTTTTCATTTATTCTCCAAAATCTCCCATATCTCATCACATCAGGTTTTATCTTGTACTCTTTTAGTGGTTTAGGTATCTGGTTGGGGAGGCAGAGGTTGGGAGTTCGATTCCTCACTGTGCCTCGTTGTCAAGGGATGGTCTTGACGGTCCATAAGGTCCCTTGCAGCTCTGCAGTTCTAAGATGCTGATCTAACTCTCAGAAGTCTGAACACTGGGAGGAGCACTTCATTTCCACTTACGCCATCAACAGAAGTTATGAGAAGTACATCAGGCCAACAAATAAAGCCAGCTTCCTTTTTTTAAGCCTACATTACCTGGACAAGTTCTCTATATGCAGATTTTGCCAAGTTGTACGGGACCAGAAGATTGGATGCCAGAAAATAAAGGACTTCCAAGCCGGTGAAAATCATTGCAAATTTGTTAATGATAACAATCGTTTCCAGTGGGACCAGGCAAAGCCGTGCCAGCAGAGGGAGCATGTGAGCAGAGAAGAGCCAGATCTGTTTGGTTTTCATGACACAAGAGCAAAGGGTGCATACCACAAGTTGACCTGCAGAATGAACAGAGAGAGAGAGAAAACCACAGTATCATTATGGGGCTCCTTTCCTCTGAACAGTCAGCAAACAGTAACACATCTAGAAGACAGCCTGAAATGCATCTTCTTGAAATACACTGACCTTTTTATACTGCAATGACAACAAACAACCAAGTTCCAATTCGGATTCTTTTTAAAAACTGCAACACTGCTGGATCTAAAACTTTAAAATCTATACGCAAATCGGAATACAGTTTCTAAGAATTGCTCAGCCAGTTGACAATGTTTAACAGAAGCAAAATAGCTGCATACTGTGTGAAGACATACAACAAGCATAACAAAAATAGAATGACGTAGTGATTCTAAAGGCCTGCCTGACTCATTACACTTTAGTGAGCAAACTACAGAGGTGTGCATCCTGCAAACAACACAATCTTAAGTAGAGCTGACCCAGAATTCTCATTCAGCTTGATGGCATTTACTTTGAGTGGAGGAAGATCACTCTCGTGTGCAAAAGGTTTCAGTCTCTAACCCCAGGCATCTCCATGACGGGCTGGAAAAGACCCTGCCAGAAGCCGCAGAGGGCAGACTGCCAGCAGACAAAACTGAGCTAGATGGACTGTTGGCCAGGTGCCTTCCCATGTCGATAAGTGTGCACAAGACTGCAGTCCTACGATCTGGGTACTGTAGAACTAAACTGCTGTCTGCTACGTGACCTTATAGTGTATGTATAGGCTTTTAAAGAAGAAACATTTACCATGGTAGCTTCTGTTGCAGATACAACATATGTAATTATTACAACATATGTAATTATTATGAATGCATGAATCACATTCCATCATAACCAATGATATCACTCTAATGAAGTATGTTGTGCTAGTCAGAAGGCATTAAACAAGAAGATTAATGTGCCTAAGACACATCTTACTCCTGGCCTATGAGGTCATATCCAGTATATTTTTATGAAGTCGCCAGGCTTCTAACTTTAATAATGAGAAGGCGTCACCCATGCCTCTTGCTCAATAATAACTTGAAAATATGGCAAAACATAAAAGGTAGAGAAGCCAGGCAGTGAAACAGAAAATGACAATGATGTACTGAATCTTAAGGCAACATGTTTGGACTGCTAGGACTGGGTCTTTGTCTTGCACTTTTTCAAGAAGGTAGCCAGGATCCATTTCATTCTGGGCAAGGCTCCTTCCAAGTCACCAGGATTCTCTTACGTAATCAGAAAAAAAAACCCAACCATAGTTAGAGAAACAGGAGAACATCTGGACTGAATAACTTTCTAAGGCCTCTCACCAAGTTTTATATCCAAAGAAGCATGATGTGTTACTAATATGGATATGGCAAGTGTGTTCTCTTAACCACTGTATACATACGTGTAAATGATAGCGCAAAATGAAAATATTTCTAAAGCACTTCACTTCAACTGTATTTATAGTACTAGTATGCATTTTAAGGATAAACTGATTATTTTTGGCTACTAAACAACAAGCGACAATCCCATTTGTTCTTCTGTTGAAAATGTTTTAAAATTATTTGTAAAAGAATATTTTTTTAAACAGGCCAATATTGGGATTGGGCAGCTTTTGAAGTATTAGTTTCATTTAGATATGTCAGAGGAAAAAAATGTTTTTCAGATAAATCAGTTCACATTCATGTTCCAATAATGAAGGTTGCAAAAGTCAGTTCACAGAAGTGATAAATGCCCCAACTGTGGAGACATTTATTTAGAAGACAGTCTTATAGGCTTTTTTCTTTTTTAAAGGACTGAGTGGTTTGCCTCCCTCTCCTCTCTAAAATCTTATTCTGTTCTTCTCATGTGCCAAGAAATCATATGTAGCAGTACACTACAACTGTCTTAAAGCATTACACATTAAGCTTTTAAAGGGAATAAAATCCTTATGAGCTAAAATCCATGCCATCAGTGACACAGGAGCACCAAATTGCCTATCATTGCTTCTCCCCGTCAGGCCGTGCAATCTTTCTTTCCCCAGGTGGTGATCTATGCCACTCAGTGGTATCTATGAAGAGTTAGTGCCGGCATCTTCACAGAGTGCTGTCCTCTGAAGACGCCGGCCACAGAGACTGGCGAAACGTTATGAAGAACAACCTTCAGAACACGGCCAAAGAGCCCGAAAAACCCACAACAACCAGTTAGTGCCTAAACTCATCTTCTAATCTCATCCAGAAAAATAGGATGTTTCCTCATTTCTATTCATTACTGAGGACTGGCAAATGTTCCAGTTAAAGGTGCAATGTATGACCTTGAACTTAACAATGTCAGATTTGCATCCCATTAGTAACTAGAATGCAGAATATAGCTCACACAATATGGGTGACAAAGCCAAGCATGAGAATGAGTAATCTAAAAGCAAGAGATCAAACTAAAGTAATTAAGCAAAGAAACCAATTTAACAATTTCTTGATTTCTTCTCCCATTGCTCAATTTCATATATTTTTATTTGCAGTTGTCCAGTCTGAGGTACAACTTCAAAATCAAATCTAGGGTACAGCAATAGACACACATACACCCACATATTATATAGGAAGATCACACCAAACAGTTAAATAATTGCAATATATAAAACAGAGAGAAATTGAAGTATCTGTTTAAGATGTTCAGCACAATTTCTTCAAAACATATGCACTCATAACTTCCCTGAACTACACATACCTCCCTTTGCTTTCAGGTGCAGCACTTAAGGTAGGGCTCTGAAGTGTTATCAGAATTTCCTGCATCACTCCTAAGATGGAAAGCTCTTCTGAAGTACACTTGAGATCTCATTGCCTTCTGCAGTGAGAATAATTGTCAGAATAATGGCGGCTGGTTTTCTGCCTACTAAAAATCCATGCTCCCAATGAGCTGCACCTTCTAGCTAATCATTGAAAAGTGTGTGTAAATCCTCATTTGTTTTGCCCTCATAGGCAATGGGGGAGAATGACATTATTGTCCTTGCTCACGTTTGATGGAGTTTGCACATTGGTGAGAACGCTGTTTTGTGCAAAAATTGCCTACTTCGCACACTTTCAGATATTGCCCTTTTCACATATTGTCACTGGCTGCTTAGTATGCTTCTGTGTTTGTGCTTTGCTTCAAAAGAGAAGGTGGCTAAAATCTTTTACACAAATGACAGGGACCTAGAGGTCTGTTAAGAGTTCTTTGTCTCACTCTCAGGACCTTAGCATCCCTCTTTGAAGTGCTTGCTCTGTGATAGCCAAAACTGATAAGGAGAGAAATTAAGCAAGTATTTTTCTGTCCCTACTGATGAAACGCTGATCTCCTCCCCCACTCCTAAATTTTTAAGAAACAACATTCTGCCTTCAAGGAAAACATAAAATGTGGCTCTGTTCATATTTTGTTTTCCAATGTTCTACAGCAGTAGGGAGCAACGCTTCAGAAATGGATGTCAATCTTTTAAGCCATCCAGGAACATTTTCTCAGTACGTATTCAGACATAACTGCCGCTTCTTAATAAATTACATTTTTGTAACATTACATCTTGACTAGAACAAAACCAGAATAATCTGCACCTAATCTCCTTTGCAATTCTATGTGAGGCTTATCAAAATCGGTCAAGAAAAAGACTGGTTAACAAAAATTAACAGCAAATGCCCACCAGTTAGCCATTGCCCTCATGTGCACTATAGAATTATCTATAAGCAAGTGAGTGAATAGTCTATGCTCCTGTTATCTAGCAGCAAATCTGACTCAGAGAGAGAGAGAGAAAGAGAAAGAGAAAGAGAGAGAGAGAGAGAGAGAGAGAGAGGAGAGAAATAAACATTGTCTTAGGCAAGTTAGGTGTAACTCTTAGCTAGCTAACAGTTGAGTACCTTTTTAAATGCGCCTTTCACTACTAAACTATTATGAATGCTGGGAATTAAGATTTTAAAAATTATTTGCTCTTTAGTTTTAGGATAGAAACCATGTGTTTTAATTGTCAAGTCCTTGCCCCTCAACTAAGGCACTCAAGACTTTAATCGCAGATGGAGGCTAGTTTGCATTGACTTAGCTTATCATTATGAGAACTAGAAAATATCAGCACGAAACACTTGTAGGTTTTGACTTTTTTGTTACTGTCTCACTTGAGAAAATATAAACAAACATCCCAAGTTCTGAGCTAAATGTAAATATCATTGCTGTGTGGACACTGGAACAAGCGGAGACAGATTTGATAATGAAAAGCTGTTCTGTTTCATGTACTTAAACAGGCTACTTTTGCAGAATTAATATCCTAACAGATTCTTGGTGGTATCTCTAGCAGTCTACCTGCTGACTCCCACAAAATAAACTTAATGTGTTTATAAACATGTTTTTTTAAGTGTGGGGGGAAAGCATATAGAGAGAGGAGGAGAAAGAGACTGTGTGTGTGTGTGTGTGTGTGTGTGTGTGTGTGTGTGTGTGTGTGTGTGTGCGTGCGCACGCGTGTGTGTGTGTGGTGACGTTGGAAACTTTCTTGACCACACAGCAGAACTGCTGCATGTAAACAGCTTCCTTGTCAGCCAGCTCTGAACCTCACCACTCATGCAATGGTCCCATTGAGATAGCTGCTTGGGTTTCAATCTAGACAAACAAGTAGGTGCTAATCTAGATCTGAGCCTGAACATTGCAATGGACACAGCCATTCATTCATTCATTCACTCATTCATTCATTCATAATATTTTTTACCCTGCCTTTCTCCTTAAAAGGACCAAAGGCAGTTGGTATGTGGTGGTAGGGAGTTTCTGCATATTCTCTGATGCATGGTCAATGGTGCAGGGTGCAGTTAGCCCATGTTGCCATGATGATGACTCTTGTAATAATAAAAAAAGTGTTTTTTTTGGTCTGGTTTTGTTTTTTGTAGAGTCCTAGGAACTGCACTGTGACAAGCTAAAACTCTTGAACAGAACTCTTAGCACAAGGTAACCAGTTGCAGTGTTACCAGTTTTGGAAAGAAGGGTAGAACCAAGGTTATGAAGCTGATTCAAATAAACAATGGGGAAAAACTTTATTTAAGGAAAGGGAAAATGCATACAAAGGCTCCTGGTAATGTGAATCAACATATTAGCCCCTGAGTCCAATAAACAGTAATTGGAAGTTTATAAAAGTTAGAGCTGAGGGCATTTCATAATCACCCCATGCCCTACCCCAAGGTGAGAAGTTCAATTGACCCTCAGTCAAATCAGTAAACTCTCACAAAACCAGTAATGGTTGAAAGACCATACAACCTTTTTATTCTTAATGCCAAGTACATTTGATGTTTTCCTCTTAACTAAATGTACATCTCAGCAAATGTAAGATGGAAAATGGATGGGAAAATACATTTGTGAAACTGAAACAAAAATAATTAAACATTTTCAAAATTGCAAATATCCCTATTCTTTTGTTTTCATAAGGTCAGAAGCAGTGGGTGTTGAGAAATTAGCTCATAAAGGAGAGCAGTGTCACCTTTCATTGCTGCATGAGAACAGATTCTGCAGAGAAAACTTTCAAATTTCCAGCTCCTTCCTCAAAAAGCACCAAATATCTATACTGAAACAAAAATAATTAAACATTTTCAAAATTGCAAATATCCCTATTCTTTTGTTTTCATAAGGTCAGAAGCAGTGGGTGTTGAGAAATTAGCTCATAAAGGAGAGCAGTGTCACCTTTCATTGCTGCATGAGAACAGATTCTGCAGAGAAAACTTTCAAATTTCCAGCTCCTTCCTCAAAAAGCACCAAATATCTATCAGTACCAAAAAAAAAAAAAAAAAAAAAAAAAAAAAAAAAAAGAAAAGCTTCTTCCGAAAAAAAAAAAAACAGAAAAGTGAGGCTTCTTCAGGAAGGCCACATGCCACATTTCCGGTAAGTGAGCTGTTAAAAAATGTATTGCCAGAGGGTAATACATGTCAAGCCAACTGACTCCTAGTCAAGCCGACCAAACCATTCCCATGAAGGGGAGCAGACAAATGGCTTTGAAGCTGTAGGGCTGCAACATTTTTCCCTTTTGAAAGATGGCTCATTAAAAGTCAAGTTGAAGACACAACAAAAAAAAATATTTGTGAAACAAGCAGTCCCTGGAGTACACTAGCAAATTCTTTGAACCAGCTGAAATTGATTTTTCCTTTCTATAAAGAACTGAGTTTGCTCATTCATTTTCATAATATTTATATTTCTGTTCTGTGCTGAAATATAAGATGACTAGGATATTTAGTTATTGTGGATTGGAAAGTTATTTGAAAAATTTCAAACGATCATTTCATTTTTAAGCAGCAGGATACTAAGCAACTCAACAGTTAGGATGCTTCATATACAGTAAACCAGGAGTAGATAATTTTCCAATGTCTGAGTGCCCTCATCTGCCCACCCCTGGTCCTTAAGAGGACTGGAACCAAGCTCTCCACCCTCAAAATATTTGTCTGTATTTTATCTCCACTGAAAAAAAAATCGCCCTTGCACCTTCTAGGTACCCTTGAGTCCCCTTATGTTCTTGGACTAAAACTTCCAGAAAGTTTCACCAATAGTTGTGTTGGCCTGGATTTCTGGGAGTTGCAGTCCAAGAAGATCTGGGGAACCAAGGCTGGGAACCATTGTTCTAGAGAAAAGCAACACACTGTTGAAGACAAAGTGCTGGACTAAGGCTCACGACACCTGGAGTCAAAATCCTCACTTGTTCAGATTCAACAGGGCTTTGTTGCAGCGAGATTGGTCGGATTTCGGGAGGCTCCTGAAACTGACTGAGACCATTCGGTTTCGACCCCTCCAAACTTGGGGGGGGGGGAAAGGACTTTCGCTAGGAGAAGTGAAAGCCTGAAGCAACAGAACCTGACTGAGAAGTGAGGTGGCCAGGAGATTCTTGGATTGTACTCTTTGGCACAGAACTGTGAATGCCCCAAGACAGAGAGCGGAAAAGTACAGGAGGATGTTGGAAAAACAATCTTCACCAAACTTGAAGTGAGTTGTTTTACATATGGAACTGCTAAGGACCCAATACAGTCAAGAGACTGGGTGTGATCTGCAAGAGAAAGTGACTAGACCTATATCTGGCCAGACCAGCAAACACTCCCCCCCCCCGCCTTCGTCTGGGGCTTGG